GAGGCTTAAATGGGAAATGACAGTCCAAATAAAATATCTAAGACAGGAAGGCATTTGCAATTATTTCATAAAATGATGCCAAAATATTGTCAGATACTGTATCTCATATGACAAATTCAATAAAGTCTTCTCAGAGAAACACAGATTTTTATAGTAAAGTTTCTGTATAAATCAGTCCAGGTGGATTCCTTCTTTGTGGATGGGCAGGATTATTTTCAAAATGATAGAAACAGGGGAAAGAGAAAGAAACCCCAAATTGATCTGCAACAGGAGTTTCCTCAGCAGTCATCTGGGAAGGGAGTTTTGCTTTGTCACAAGTGACTAGCCCTTGATTTTGAAAGAGTGAATCATCCCCCTTTGAAAGAAGAGATAAGTGGTGGGGAAAGCTGTTTAAAAATTACTTTGCAACTATTTCCTTTTGAGCTATGACTTCTTGCACTGGAATGTGATCCAGAATAGCTTCCCTTTGAATCCAACATTTGTCTTAAGCATTTTTATTGTCTCTCTTTTCCCTCACCCCATCTCACTTTTACCCTCCCTCTGTTCAACAGATTTACACTGACTGGGCCAACCACTACCTAGCAAAATCGGGCCACAAGCGGCTGATCAAGGATTTGCAACAAGACATTGCAGATGGAGTACTCCTAGCAGAAATCATCCAGATCATTGGTAAGACCTGCCTTCTGATAGAAAGCATGAAAGTCTCTGCTCCTCTCTCTTTGGTAAAATGCAATTTAAGTTGAATGCCTACTCAATTGGTCCATGTGTCTCTGAGATTAATGTGTCTCTCCCTTGATTTAATTAAAATGTTTATGTGTGAGCATGTTTGAAAAAGGTAGTTTGGCCATACTTTTAATACTTATAACTGTATTTTTACATACACTGAATAGTCAGAACTGAGCGCTTCATTAAACCATGTGTCTCCCATGTGTGCATTTCGTTAGCTGGAGCAACTCATACATTCTGAGATTCCTTGAAACTGTATCCTGATCCAGCAGGGACAATTGTGAAAGGTTTCATGTCAGCAGTCATTTGGCACGGGCTAAAGAATTAGCAGTAACTTCCTTCTCACCCACTTTTTTTTTTTTGCCTGATTTGTGCATATAGAATTGGTGGCTGCTAACAAGTGTACATGGCTTGGGAGACCGAGTAAATGTAGCAGCAGCATTTTTGCTTTTTTTTTTTTTTTTTAAGTCTTTTTTTGTGGTGTGTATTTCACTTCATTGCTTAAGCATGTCATTCTTTTTTTCTCTCTTTTATTTTATTTCTTGGCTTTAGCAAATGAAAAAGTTGAAGATATCAATGGATGTCCTAGAAGTCAGTCTCAGATGGTAAGAATCATATTTATTCTCAATATGTAATGCTTATCTTCACTTCCAGAATTAGCTGCATTTGTAAATGAATTAGAATTTTTTTCTGCATGTCTTCCTGCTTGTTTAATAAACCATTCAATCACATTCTCTCATATGTATTTCTATAGGTGCAATTTATGCATGTGATAGTATCAATACAGTTGAATAAGTATGACTCTTGTATAACATATTTCCAGATGTTTTATTAGATCCTTGCCCTTGTTTTCATTGTTGTCCTAATGTTCTGGATAATTTAATTTAACAATAGTCTTAATAGCAGTAAATCCCATTTCCACTTTTGAGTAG